TTAGAAGCGGCGATGGAAGATGAAGATGAACAAATAAATTAGACCAAAATGAATTTATTTATATTGGCCAAGCAGAAGATATCAGAATAGACGCATTGGGAAATGTGATATAGATGAAAAAAAGCAATAAAGGATACAGCTAGTTAAATAAATTATACTGCTTTCACAATCGCTACTATCTTCAGTAATAATAAATTCGTACTTTCCACGAGATGGCGTATCCAATAGTTCAACGGTGTTTCCAAATGTAACCAAATACTGATCGGTTTAGACGTATTTCCGATGAGCCATCGAAGTGAATATTTGTTGATAGATTTCTTGACATACATTCGATAAAAACAGAAAATAACTTTCATTGCAACTTTGTTCATTAAGAAGTACGTCGCGATGGGCAGCCGCACAAATTGACATAAAAAATGAAGTAGACCGAAGTGACTCCCTTATGACTATTTCATCATGAAAAACACGTCACAGTCAACCAATCGTTTTGCTTTGAAAAACTTGTGAAAAACTTTGAAAAAATTACCATCCATTTTAAAATCCCAAAATATATTTTATTTCAATTTATGCTTACACGAAATTCAAGCTAAAAAATATTGGAAGCACTTGCAACACGTTCTCAAACCATTGCATCTCTGATTTCTCAATCTCGAAAACAGCGGCTGTACGCCAAGGTTCTGCGCTGCGGAACATGTCCAGAAAGGGAAACCCAGCAGTTCACCTCAGAAAGATCATTTTAGCCGCTTGTACTAAGGATCGTACTATTTCAGTCATGGTCCACGGATCGTGACGGTAAGTCAGCATCAGCATTAAGATCGATATGAACACAGAGGCCTTAGTCATGAGACTCAGCTCTGCTTTATTCACTATGGTTCAGGCTAATTCACGCAGAACTCCACCGGGTCGATCTCATCCTCAAATTTTCCATCACTTACTTGGTAATTGAACTTCTCCACTGCTTCTCCGTCTATCTGAAGAGAACAACGGGCAGGAGAACAAGAAAGCACTAGGCTTTTCGATTTAGGTGGGTTCACATGCATGCCGACCCCGT